TCTAGGGAATGACCTTGCGGGAAGCAAAGTATACCCCTGTACGGTTTCAGACCCTTTGTCAACAGTTCCAGATGATGATAATGAACTGTATCCTGCATGTGCGGTGACAAGAAGCCAGACCAAACAATTGGCTGACACAACGTCTGAACCACATCTACCATCATCGTCAAGAAATTCGACTCCCAAACTGGAGTCTATGCTTCCAGAAAACACAAGCCTGGGCTTACCCCTGAGAATATCTCAGGAAGACATCATTAAAGCTCAACAAGCCGACGCGGAACTCCAAGCAACGGTCGAAAAATCTCTATCATCTGACGATGGAGAATATTTCTCCGAGAACGGCCTCTTCTTTCGTCGCGCTATACCGGTGAATGCCTCACCAGCCGAACCATGGTTGGGTAAAAACCAGCTGTGGGTCCCTCCACCTTATCGGCAGGAAATACTTAAGCTGGCACATGACCATCCAATGTCAGCGCACCCAGGAGTCACTAAAACGACGGCGAAGATCAAAGAACTGTTCTTTTGGCCCAAAATGAGAAAAGATGTGTCGCGTTACTGTAGAAGTTGCACGAACTGTCAGTTGGCCGGAAAGCCAAACCAGACAATTCCTAAGGCCCCTTTGAGTCCGATTCCTGTATTAGAAGAACCCTTTTCTAAAATCGTCATGGACTGTGTAGGTCCCTTGCCTAAAACCAAGGCGGGCAACGAGTATCTACTTACCTTTATGTGTTCAAGTACCCGTTTTCCCGAGGCGATTCCCTTACGGAACATTAAGGCAAAGACTGTAGTCAGAGCCATGACCCGGTTCTTCACTACCTTTGGATTACCTAGGATCGTGCAAACAGATCAAGGCAGCAACTTCACCAGTCACCATTTTCAGGAAGCGCTAGCCAAGCTAGGCGTTACCCACATCACCAGCTCAGCCTACCACCCTCAGTCTCAAGGCGTACTTGAGAGGTTCCACCAAACCCTCAAAACCATGCTAAGGACATTCGCTAATAGTAACACCCAATGGGATGAGTCTGTTCCTTGGATTATTTTCGCCGCGAGGGACTGTGTCCAGGACTCTTTAGGCTACTCGCCTTTTCAACTTGTGTTTGGACATTCTGTCCGTGGCCCCCTGAAGCTGATACACGAACGTTGGACAGGTACCAGTGATCATCCAGTGGAAAACTTCGACGATTTTCACGTTCGACTGAAAGCCGTGTGCGAAATGGCTCACAAGAACTTAAGAAAGGCCCAAGTTAGAATGAAAGGACTGTATGATAAGAGTTCTTGTAAACGAACATTCAATCCAGGCGACAAAGTTCTTGTGCTAGTGCCTAATCTGAACAATGCGTTATCCTTGAGATATTGTGGACCCTTTACTGTGCATTCAAAATTAAGTGATTTGAACTATGTTGTCAATACGCCCGACAGAAGAAAGAAACAGACAGTGTATCATGTCAACTCACTGAAAAAGTATTATGATAATTGTAACAATTTTCAATCCACAGCTAAAACTACTTTACCTGTATGTTCAAATGTTTCTGATGATGTGATACATGATAAATTGAAACCCCCAAAATTGGTAAATTCTTCCTTTTTAGATAATTTGAATGTCCACCTTATGCATTTGTCCACAGAGGAAAGCCATAGATTGTCTCAGTTATTTGAGACATTTCCCTCTATTTTTGGGGATGTCCCCAAAGAAGCGAAGGTTCCACCTCATGATGTAGACGTTGGTGACGCAAAACCCATTAAACAACACCCCTATAGAGTTAACCCGGAAAAAGCTGCTTTGATAAAAGATGAAATTGATTATATGCTCAAGAATGATATCATTGAGCCCAGTTTCAGCAACTGGAGTTCCCCAAGTCTCCTAGTCCCGAAAGACGGTGGATCTTTCAGGTTTGTGACCGACTTTAGGAAGGTGAATGCGCTCACCAAAGCTGATTCCTATCCCTTACCTCGGATAGAGGACGTTATTGATAAAGTTGGTCAGGCTAAGATAATTTCCAAAATTGATTTACTTTCAGGATACTGGCAAATCCCCTTATCTGACCGTGCAAAAGAAATATCTGCTTTTGTAACCCCTAATGGTTTTTATAGATACAAACGTATGCCCTTTGGTATGCGAAATGCTGGTCAAACTTTCCAGAGGGTCATCAACTCTGTCATTGCTGACATAGACCAATGTGAGGCCTACATAGATGATATAGTTGTATTTTCTAATACTTTTGAAGAACATATTGTTCAATTGACTAACCTTTTTAGAAAATTGTCTGAAGTTAATTTTACTGTAAACTTACATAAAAGTGATTTCTGTAAAGCTTCAATTACCTATTTGGGTTATCAAGTGGGAACGAACCAAGTTCGGCCCATTGAAGCTAAAGTAGATGCTATTGTAAGGTTACCACCTCTCAAAAATTGTAAAGAGATCAGAAAGTTCCTTGGGATGGCTGGTTACTATAGACGGTTCTGTCAAAACTTTTCAGCTATTGCTGAACCTCTTACTGCATTATTGAAAAAGGGTGTTGAATTTGAATGGTCCAATAAATGTCAAGAAGCTTTTTTAACCATTAAGTCATTTTTATCAAATGCTCCTGTTATGGCTGCGCCAGATTTCAGCAAGCCCTTTAAACTTGCCATTGATGCTAGCAACTTAGCCATTGGCTCAGTCCTATTTCAAGAAGACAACATGGGAATTGACCATCCCATTGCCTTTTTTCCAGGAAGTTAAATGAAAACCAAAAGAATTATTCTACTATTGAAAAAGAAGCTTTAGCTTTAGTTTTGTCATTACAACATTTTGAAGTCTATGTCTCTTCTTCAACCAATCCAGTCAGAGTGTTTTCTGACCATGATCCCCTGAAATTTACCTCTAAGTTAGGACAGACAAATCAAAGAATATTGAGATGGTGCTTATATTTCCAAAATTTTAATCTGGAAATTTCACACATTAAGGGTAGTGATAATGTTGTGGCTGATTGTTTGTCAAGGATGTAAAATCTTGTTACACACATTGATCATGTGACATGCTTTGTGGTTCATTAGGACCATAAACAGGTTTTGTTTGAGTGTCACTCATATGAAAATGAGTGGTGTGAGTTTTGAATTTTTTTCAAAATTCCAATCCTGTTGAATATTTTGTTTATTTTCAGGTGAACCTTAATTAAAGGTGGTTTTTGATTAAATGTAATCTTTTATAATAATATGTCTCATATGACTCAATTGATATTGTAGCTAGTCATTGAAATAAAGGTCTTACCCTGGCGGGTTTACCACTTTTAATATTCTCATGGAAAAATTGTAATACCCTTTTTTGAGGGATTTTGATGTATAATTACTTTTTGAAGGGTTACTCCCCTTTCACCAATTGTAAAAGTTGGAGTTACTTCCCTTTTATGTTCAGGGATATTTTCATCTGGTGTTATGATTTTTATTGCCTACATTTGTAAAACATTTTTGTTATTTCATTGCCAGATTGGTTCCTTATGTATGTTTTTGTGGAACCTATCTGTCACTTCCAAAAAGGGAGGGGATGTGACCTACTTAGGTCGAGTCATTTTTATTTTGACATTGTATAATTCCTTATATGGAATGATGGTGTAACACCTGGGGTTTTTCCACTGACTTTTTAAGGTGTTTGAGACATAGAAATTTTCCATTAAAATCTGATTGAATGATTCTGATCAGATGATTATCCCAACCAATGGCGACATGAGTTGAGGATAACCTCCCCTGTCACAGAAGTCTTTAATTGCTCTGCACACTCGCAACACGAGGCAGTTTATCTTGACCTGGCAGTCTACGAGGCCGTTTTACCTTAGTCAGGCAGCCGTCCATATTGTCCGGCTATAGACTCTGACCATTTGAACGTGAGAGTACTTAAGACCTGTGTGTGCCTTGCTTTCTTCAGTTGATTTAATCTTCTAGTTTAATATTACTTGTCGCTAAGTAATTCTTGAAGCTACAGCAGTGTTGTGTGGCCTGTAGCTGTTCTTTAGACAGTGTAGAAATCTGTGATAGTGTTTTTTCCTACATTGTGTAAGTTGGGTTTTTGATATTTTATACATTAAATATTTTATCTAGTTCATCTTTGTGTTTTGCCACATCTGAGTTCGCTGATTAAATGGTCGTATGTAGATTGGATGAGTGTTAATTACAATAGTATCACTAGCTCCCCTAGACATTAATTTCGAGCCCTAGTGGTCGTTGTGTTAAGTGTTCATCCACTTAGGCCGTAGGGCATTTGCATATGACCCCGAAAAAAGAATCCGGGGACGTTCTCCTTCTATTTGGCTGATAGAAAGGTTAACGTTACAGGAGTAATTGACATAGATTAATTAAAGAATGTGTTATTGACGATGGGATTTAGGGATGATGAGGAATTGACAGATGGTAGTGGATCAGGCCTTAATGAAAGAGGTTGATTGTCTGGGAGGGGGGGGGGTCTAAACCAATGTGAGACGTAGGTGTATATTTGACAGGTAGCATTTGAACAGGGTTAAATGAAGGGGATAATTTACGGGGAAGGGGTGTTAATGTTCTAAGCCTCATCTAGACGTAGATGTATATTTGACAGTTAGTATTTGAACAGGGTGTAATGAAGGGGGATAATTGACGGGGGGGGGGTAGTAATGTTCTAAGCCTGATCTAGACGTAGATGTACATTTGACAGGTAGTATTTAAAAGAGGGTGTAATGAAGGGGGATAATTGACGGGGGCAGGGGTGGTAATTTTCTAAGCCTGATCTAGACGTAGGTACAGATTTGACAGGTAGAATTCGAACAGGGTGTAATGAAGGGGGATAATTAACGGTGGAGGGGTGTTGATATTATAATGTTCTAAGCCTGATCTAGACGTAGGTACATATTTACAGACGAATCACATCAGAAGCTGTCCAGATGGAGTTCTGGCAACCTCCAGAAGGTGAAGAGGTCAAGGACCCTTTGCTGACCCCACAGCAACAGACCCAGGTTATGAATGTAGACCAGTTGTGGACAGAACGTGTGGAGGTGGGCGTGTCCGCTAGGGGCGTACCTGATCACGTGACCGTGATGAAAATGGCGGGTCCTCTCATTGAATCACACAAGGTCAACCATGTGGAAAGTAGGAAGACGGAAAGCAGATTGAAGAAGTGGATTTTGATTCTCATTTTATATTTGAATGTGATCGGTAAGTTTAGTTTGCTAGGGGATTGGGGGTTTAACTTTTATGGCAAAATTATGCTAGAAATTGAGTGGTTAAGGAATATAAACTTATTTTTATTTTGAAATTATTATTTAATAATCCCATAATAATGCATAGATAGAAAGGGTGGTTAAGAAATGTTATGTTCCTTAAAGTTTGTAATAGACAAATTAATTTTTTTTTAAAATAAGTAAAGAAACGCTAACTCACTTCATTTATTGTTGTAAGGTGAGTCAAGCAATGGTTCTTAACCTGAGTTCAATCGAACCCCAGGGTTTTGGCGTGTCGATCTCAGGGGTTCGTCGAGGTCAAGACACACACCAGAGGCGTAGCGACGGGGAGGGGGGTACATATGTCCCCGGGCGCCGACCCTAGGGGTGCCAAATTGAAAGTTTATCCTCGGGCGTCGGGAATGGTCGCTACGCCTCTGAACACACTGATTCGCACGATTCGCCATCGGATTTGTTTAGTGCTGACGATAGAACTTTTAAGAAACTTGTGGCGTTTGGTACCTTCAAGTAGGTTAAGGACCACTGCGTTAGAGTAAAATAAACCTTGTCAGAGATATATGCCACATACCGAGGGTATAGAGGACAAATACAGTATGTCCACTTTTAGGTCAAATCGATGTAAATTAATACAGTCAATAATACAAGCTACAAGAACACTCACGTGCAATGTCAGAAAAGTAGAATGCAAATATTTTATGAATGTTTAAACATAATATTTTGCTCCTTTTTATAAATGGAATGAGATTTATAAACTCATTTTTCTCGTGATTATGTTTTTTTGTCCTCTATACCCTCTCAATATAAAAACACGTTTCTTTAGAAGTCTGTGCATGTCAGCCATGTGAACGGACTGAGACTACCTTTCTGTGGGGATTCATCACATTCATAACTGACACCTGCAAACCTGGATACGGTGATCGGCGAGAGTAGGTTTTTAGCTGCCAAATGTAATGTTATGTAATATTTAACATTCATCCGTCTGTTCATGTGTTAATCCGACCGTCAGTCCGACCACCAATCAGTTAATCAGTCTATCCATCAGTCCATCCGCCCATCTGTCTATCCGTCCATCCGCCCATCAGTCTATCCGTCTATCCGCCCATCTGTCTATCCATCAGTCTATCCCCCCATCAGTCTATCCGTCTATCCGCCCATCTGTCTATCCATTCACTCGTCTATCCGCCCATCAGTCTGTCCGTCTATCCGCCCATCTGTCTATCCATTCATCGTCTATCCGCCCATCAGTCTATCCGTCTATCCGCCCATCTGTCTTTCCATTTACTCGTCTATCCGCCCAACAGTCTATCCGTCTATCGGCCCATTTGTCTATCCATTCACTCGTCTATCCGCCCATCTGTCTATCCATTTACTCGTCTATCCGCCCATCAGTCTATCCGCCTATCATTCTATCCGCTCATCTGTCTATCCATTTACTCGTCTATCTGCCCATCAGTCTATCCGTCTATCCGCCCATCAGTCTATCTGTCTATCCGCCCATCTATCCGCCCATCTGTCTATCCATTTACTCGTCTATCCGCCCATCAGCCTATCCGTCTATCGGCCCATCAGTCTATCTGTCTATCCGCCCATCAGTCTATCCGTCTATCCGCCCATAAGTCTATCCTTCTATCCGCCCATCAGTCTATCTGTCTATCCGCCCATCAGTCTATCCGTCTATCCGCCCATAAGTCTATCCTTCTATCCGCCCATCAGTCCATCCGTGTATCAGTTCATTCGTCTATTCTTCTATCAATCTATTTGTCCATCCGTCTATCCGTCAATCCACCCTTCCGTCTATCCGCCCATTCCCCACCCATCAATCCACCCATCCATTCATCCATCAGTCTATCTGTCCGTACGTTCATCAGTCCGTCAATCTACCCTTCCATCAATTCCTAGGTTCATCCGTCCATCCACCAACCCATCCATCCACCAACCCATCCATCCACCAACCCATCCATGCACCAACCCATCCATTCACCAACCCATCCATCCACCAACCCATCCATCCACCAACCCATCCATCCACCAACCCATCCATCCACCAACCCATCCATTCACCAACCCATCCATCCACCAACCCATCCATGCACCAACCCATCCATCCACCAACCCATCCATGCACCAACCCATCCATCCACCAACCCATCCATCCACCAACCCATCCATCCACCAACCCATCCATCCACCAACCCATCCGTCCACCAACCCATCCGTCCATCCACCAACCCATCCGTCCACCAACCCATCCGCCCACCAACCCATCCGTCCACCAACCCATCCGCCCACCAACCCATCCGTCCATCCACCAACTCATCCGTCCATCCACCAACCCATCCATCCACCAACCCATCCATCCACCAACCCATCCATCCACCAACCCATCCATCCACCAACTCATCCATCCACCCATCCATACAACCATCAACTCAAGCTACATAAACTATACAGATTGTATGAATTTTCCATAGTGATAGCGGTTCAATTTTCAACAACTTCCTTCTATACATCATTATTGCCTTCTTAATTGGATTTGGTAAGCTTGTGTTCTGTACAGTTCATTTTCCTCTGTTGGATCAAATCTTTTTGTTATTATTCCATTTTTGATTAGATTTAGTAAGCTTGTGTTCTTTACAGTCCATTATCCCTGTTGGATCAAGCATTAGACTGGACTTAAGTACGGTGTAGCACCATAATGTACTGAACTAATCTGCACTACATCTGTGTGCTATTACAGTGTGCAGTGACACCTTGATGTGGTGAAATAATCTGAAGAAACTTCTTGTGCTAATCTAGAATTTAAACATTCTTAAAATATTTTTAAAAACTTAATTTATAATATTTCTTCATTCATCGTGTTAATTACGAAAATTGTATATTATTTTATACATAAATCATCGCCCTTGATACTATTATTACAATATTGATATTGTGATGTGACACACACGATTCCTGCTGGTTGAAAGGCTGGAGATTGCAGAGGCGTAGCGACGGGGAGCGGAGGGCAGGACGCCGACCCTATGGAACGCCAAAATTGGTTGTAAAAAAGCTCATATTAACTGCAGTTTTGAATTATAAATATACCAAAATATAAAGGGGGGGGCAAATTGAAAGTTCGTCCCCGGGTGCCGGGAGGGGTAGCTACGCCTCTGGGAGATTGTTAAATCTGTCAGTCGTGTCCGTGTGTAGGAGGGGACCAAACGGCCAGACAGTTAACATTTCACTTCTGCTTGGTTCCTCCCTCTTCCAACGCGAACAAATGAAAGACTGTTAATCATGTGTCCTATCTATATTATACGTACACAACTAAACATTAAACAATGCCCAATTGTATTATACCTACACAACTAAACATTAAACTATGCCCAATTGTATTATACCTACACAACTAAACATTAAACAATGCCCAATTGTATTATACCTACACAACTAAACATTAAACTATGCCCAATTGTATTATACCTACACAACTAAACATTAAACAATACCCACCTGTATTATACCTACACAACTAAACAAGTATACCTACTAAAATGAACATTAAACCATGCTCACAATAAAAAAACGTAGGTCCACCTTGTTATACTTAAACAACTAGACACTAAAATGTAGGTCCACCTTGTTATATTTAAACAACTAGACACTAAAACGTAGGTCCACCTTGTTATACTTAAACAACTAGACACTAAAACGTAGGTCCACCTTGTTATACTTAAACAACTAGACACTAAAACGTAGGTCCACCTTGTTATATTTAAACAACAAAACATTAAAACATAGGTCCACCTTGTTATACTTAAACAACTAGACAATAAAACGTAGGTCCACCTTGTTATACTTAAACAACTAGACATCAAAACGTAGGCCCACCTTGTTATACTTAAACAACTAGACATCAAAACGTAGGCCCACCTTGTTATACTTAAACAACTAGACATTAAAACGTAGGTCCACCTTGTTATACTAAAACAACTGGACATCAAAACGTAGGCCCGCCTTGTTATACTTAAACAACTAGACATTAAAACGTAGGTCCACCTTGTTATTCTTAAACAACTAGACATTAAAACGTAGGTCCACCTTGTTATACTTAAACAACTAGACATTAAAACGTAGGTCCACCTTGTTATACTTAAACAACTAGACATTAAAACGTAGGTCCACCTTGTTATTCTTAAACAACTAGACATTAAAACGTAGGTCCACCTTGTTATACTTAAACAACTAGACATTAAAACGTAGGTCCACCTTGTTATACTTAAACAACTAGACATTAAAACGTAGGTCCACCTTGTTATACTTAAACAACTAGACATTAAAACGTAGGTCCACCTTGTTATACTTAAACAACTAGACATTAAAACGTAGGTCCACCTTGTTATACTTAAACAACTAGTCACTAAAACGTAGGTCTACCTTGTTATATTTAAACAACTAGACATTAAAACATAGGTCCACCTTGTTATACTTCAACAACTAGACATTAAAACGTAGGTCCACCTTGTTATACTAAAACAACCTTTATATCTTTTAGCCCTCTCGAGAAGAATTCGAAGGTCGCCGGTACAGCTGTCGCAGCCTGTGTCTTCAGTAGATGACACCAACACAGACGCTGCAGGCGACACCTGCAAAGAGACAGCTGGTGACACCTGCATAGAGGGAACAGGTGGCACTTGCATAAAGGTAGCTAGGGACACATGTAAAGAGGCAGTAGGTGATCATTGCAAAGAGGAATCTAGTGACACTTGTGTAGAGGGAGGGGGTGACACCTGCAAAGAGACACCTGGTGACACCGCAAAGAGGGAACTGGTGACACACGTAAAGAGCCAGTTGGTGACACAAGCGCAAACTCTAATGGTGACACCTGTAAAGAGGGAACTGGTGACACTTGTAAAGAAGCAGTTGGTGACAAAAGCACAGACGCAAAAGGTGACACCTGTAAAGAGGGAATTGGTGACACCTATAAATAGACATCTGGTGACACTTGCAAAGAGGGAACTGGTGACACATGTAAAGAGGCAGTTGATGACACAAGCGCAGACGCTAAAGGTGACACCTGCAAAGAGGGAAGTGGTGACACCTTTAAAGAGACACCTGGTGACACTTGCAATTAGGGAACTGGTGACACATGTAAAGAGGCAGTTGGTGACAGACGCAGGCACCAAAGGTGACACCTGCAAAGAGGGAAGTGGTGACACCCATAAAGAGACATCTGGTGACACTGGCAAAGAGGGAACTGGTGACACATGTAAAGAGGCAGTTGATGACACAAGCGCAGACGCTAAAGGTGACACCTGCAAAGAGGGAAGTGGTAACACATATAAAGAGACACTTGGTGACATTTGCAAAGAGGGAACTGGTGACACATGTAAAGAGGCAGTTGGTGACACAATCGTAGACTCCAAAGGTGACACCTGCAAAGTGGGAAGTGGTGACACATATAAAGAGACACCTGGTGACACTTGACTTGCAAAGAGGGAACTGGTGACACATGTAAAGAGGCAGTCGGTGACATAGGCGCAGACGCTAAAGGTGACACCTGCAAAGAGGGAACTGGTGACACATATAAAGAGACACCTGGTGTCACCTGTAAAGAGGCAGTTGGTGACACAAGCACAAGCGCAAAAGGTAACACCTGCAACGTGGCAACCGGTTACACCTGTGTACATCCTATTTCAGCAAATCAAAGTTAAAAGAAATGCTTGTTGTCGCAACATCATAAAGCCTTTCTCCCAGTCTTTCTCTTAAAAAACTATTAGGTATTCGAACCTCCATAGACACTCTCTAATTTCTTTTATAGAACTGTTTTCACAATTTGTTTAGTAATTTGAAGTAATGAGGATGTCATTCATTTTATGTTTTACTAAAAAAAACCAAAACATTAGTTTAATTCATACATTTAGTTTTATATTCAAAAGTGTTAAATAAATAAACTGTAAAAAATAGTCGAAATTGTTTATTATTAATTTAAACAAGTCATTTAAAATATTAAAAAAATATTTTTTATAATGCTTACATGCATGTTTGGGCATCTTTCTTTTCAAAGAAAGATATCTAAAAATATGCATCAAGCGTTTGAGTAAGTCATAGTCACCAAACCATAGTGATCCTGTTCCACGTGTTTATTTAAATGGCATAGAAGACAAAACTATCTGTTGTATGCAGGCAAACTGAACCTCTGACAATAACACAATCGCTCTAATTGATTTATATCCAAATTCCGTTCTTTACATTATCACAAGGTATACCTATTACGATGTTGGTATTGCAAAATATAAAAAGTAATGCTACACATTTAAAATGAAACAAAAATAGATTAAGTTTAATTATAAATTTAGAAAAAAAACCATTGATTTGAAATGACACACATTTTAATTGTTTACTAATATTTAATATGTTTAATTTTCTTATTTTCGAGGATTTTTTTCAAATACTTTATTTATCTAAAAATAATGAAAATTCATATCAGATTTCAGATGTTTACAAGACGATTTCATAAAGCTTTTTTCTAGATAAAACGTATTTTGTGTTACTTTATATGCGAGTGAGATATTTAACCTAAACAGTCCTCCTAAAAACACATTCTAAAATTGTGTTAAATATTTTAAGCATCTAAAAAAATCAACGATCTTATACTTCTGACACGCTGCTTTTCTCAGTGAACCTAAATATTGGTAAATATTAAATGTGATTTTATAATTATCTATATTGCTGAACAAGTCAAATGTGTATTAAAGTGAATAAAATGTGTCCAAGCGATAATTAAAATTAATCCGTAAAATAAAGTTCCCTTATCAAACCTGACGGTCTATGGGGCAAGTGAAGTAGAGTTCACTTGTTTCTGTGACCTCGGCATATGAAGGGATAGTGTGGTCAGCACTATGCCCACTCGCCTTAACGTTCTCTAACGTGAGTTAGGTACCCATCAAAGTTGGGTGGACTCATGGACGGTCTACTTGAACCCGGATTCGAACTCGAGACTTACGGGTTAGCAGTCCAGCTCTCTACCGCTAGACCACTAATCTGTATTAAGCTTTCTTGAACATTTGTTTAAAGCAAAATTTATTCTAACATGGTTACATTGCTGTTTTGACTAAATAAAAACAACCATAAATAACAATAGGATTCTTCAATAAAAACAAAAAGAGAACCGAATTATATAACTCATTCTCTATCTCGTCGAAAGTAATTTCTGTCTCAAAAATCATTTATCGAACAGGTTGAATCAATAATGTAAGTCTTCTACAATAGTAGGGCTACTCTACACAAAATGTGACTGACAAAGTGATGTTAACTTATCGTCATCTTTTCGCGTTCGTGCCCAAGACAAATGGGGCAGATGGAGTAGAGGTCATCTGCTTCAGATGTCCTTGGCATATGAAGGGATAGTGTGGTCAACACTATGCCCAGTCGCCGATGTTTCCTTAACGTGAGTCAGGTACCCATCAGAGCTGGGTGGACTCAGGGACATTCTATTGACTTGAACACAGATTCGGGTTAGTAGTCTAGCACTCTACCCCTAGGCCACGCCGTCCCAAGATATATTAACATAATGAGACATTAAAAATTCTGTATAATTCGATTAGTAATGTAATAATATTTTTTATAAAATGTGTTTATAATAATGACCGTAAGCTTGACACGATTTTATTGAATGTAACCTCTGAATCTGCACACCTGGCAAAATGGCTTTAACATTACAGGAATTGTGCCCACTTTTTCCAAACCGATTTGTTTTAAACGTGAAAACTAAGTCGTGAGTAAAATGAGTTGAACATACACATTTTTTTGTTTTTACAGTAGGATGTTAAGTACACTTATCAAGAAAATAGTAAGCATTAATATGATAAGAAAATATCACATGCAAATTCCTGAGCCATCAGTTAATTTGTCTAATAAATTCAAAGTCTGTAGAACTAATTGTAAGTCTTCGACAATGAATGCATATCGTTTCTTGCAGCCAAGAATGTATCAAAATCTCACAAAAGGTCTTAAAAAATTGATTGCTTGAAATAATGAGAGTTTCGCTTAAGTTAATGTAATTAGAAAATGGTGTAGATTTGGATAGTGATACAAACTATACCCTTTTTTCTGATTTGGTACACAAACGTAACCTACACGTTTTGGCTTTGTTGACTATACAACCAAAATAATTGTTAGTGAAATATTTACATTTTTTATTACACTTTAATCCAGAGTTTCTGTGTTTTACAATATCAGATAAAATATAATAAAATGTAAAAATGACAATAATGATTTAACTTACATAACACTAAACCGTAAATATATAATAGAAATGTGGCTAACTAATATATGCTATATAAATACAACACATCGTATTTAAACGTATCTAAATTTCATTTCACTGAATGATGCTGTGCTCAAGTTTTTCCAGAAGAAGCTTTTGGTTCCCCAATCGCCGTTAAGGTCGGAACTGCAACAATTAAAAAACCACCATGCACCGTTGCAGACATCTGCGCAATTATTTGAGTTCATGTCGTTATCCACATCAAATGTTGTAAACTGCATGGTGTTGTGTACGACTAGACCGTCCAGGGCATTACCTGCAAAGCCATTAACATGTAACCTGTAGCCGTCAGTCTCGTCTGAGAGACTGAAGCTTGAATACGTTACGGCATAATTATTTCCGCTGAATTTCATATCAATTCGCATTTCTGTTGTGGCTTTGGACGTTAAGACGTGAATGTTTTCGTTGCCCAGGTAAAAATTACCCGAAGTGAAATCACCAAATCCTTTCTTGTAATCTGCCCAGTTGCGAAAAAAATCTACAGTCCCTGAGACACGTCTTTGGAAGATGATCCACCCCCCACCGTCTGTCTCAGTGTCACACATGACCTGAAGTCCAGAGCTTAAGGTCACCACAGGTCGGGGGTTGTTGCTTGATGGTCCTAAGCTCAAGTCTGAATTGCCTGCTGAATAAATGAGAAGAATATGATTGATGGTAGATCTTTTTAAATTTTTTTTTAGTTATTTTTTCAGTGTTTTTCCGTTTTATATGTTTTTGTATCAATGAATTTTTTTCTTAGATTTTTAACAAAAGAAGTTGTTCCTGTAGAAAAAAAAAGTGAGCAATTCATTTTAGCAGCACATTCTTAGTATAGATGAAACATAGTTTTACTTTAAACGAAAATTCCAACAAAACTGAATAAAGCCTCTAAAATATCAAAACTTTTACTGCACTTTAAGTAAGAAAAAAATACTAAAATTTAAAAGTAACCTTATTAAGGATTATTAGAAAAGTAAACATAATGCCACACGTCTGTAAAATAACGGAAACAGCATTCGAAAACTTAAACATAAAAGAATATACAGTAACTGAAGTTAGTTATCAGCTAACCAGTTCTACTTTGGTTTTTGTATACAGTAAACATTCCAATAACTGAATTTACTAATTTAATGTTTAAATAGGTAAAAAACAAAATCTACAGCGTTTTTTACCGAGATTATCTTTAGCTTTTACATTGATATATATATATATATATATATATATATATATATATATATATATATATATATATATATATATATATATAATAGTTAAGGAAAGAGGTATTTTGTTGAAATTTATTTGTAAATAAAAGTGTTGATATTAGAAGCTGTAGGTGTAGGTGTAGGCGTAGGTGTAGATGTAGGTGTAGGTGTAGGTGTAGGTGTAGGTGTAGGTGTAGGCGTAGGCGTAGGCGTATGCGTATGCGTAGGCGTAGGCGTAGGCGTAGGCGTAGGCGTAGGCGTAGGTGTAGGTGTAGGCGTAGGCGTAGGCGCAGCGTAGGCGTAGGTATTGGTGATGGCTTTGGTGTTATTTGTGTTGGTGTTGATGTTATTGTTTAAACTAATGTGCAACGGGCATAATTAAGCAGAGGCAGTGCTGGGAAATGACAGACATGCACCAAATGTAATACCTAGACAGTACACTATATCTGTATCTGATATGGAACCATCAGGCAGGACCGCGATGCTTCTTGTTGAGTTACAGAACTTCCCGCTGGAGTAAATTTTCTTCTGAGATTTTTGGGCCAAAGGTTTCAAGGGGAAAATCCAGGAGCCTGTGAAATCAGAATTAAAATATATCTCAAATATTTTTTTACTAGCGTAGAGGTTGCTGCAAACCTGGTAGAAATAACACAATAAAACAAACAAAAATAACATTATTGAATGGCGAAATGTGCCCTTGTGGCAAAGCCCCGGAAAACACGGAGCACGTCCTTCAGGAATGTTCTTTGTATAGCCAGGCACGGGTCAGACACTGGCCCCTGCTCACCCCACTCAGGGAAAATTATATGGGGCACCTGCTGATCTGGAGACCACAGTCCGGTTTGTTCACGAAGTTGGACTTGTTGTCTAAATCCTCCACCATATTCTCAATTAAGAACGAAGAAGAAGAATGGCTTGTATTTATTTGTACTGGAACTTGTTACAATATACGATGATGAGAGGGATAAGTAACTTGTGGGAACCCAGAGTACAGTGGAACACATGCGAACTTACCTAGGCTGCAGTGTTTTGTTGTCTTGTTATAAATGTAGTTGTAGCAGGGTTTCTTGGAACGTGAACAAAATGAGGCGCAGGACAGTAGACTGACTTGGTCATATTCTACATTGATGGACATCATGGTCAAGTTTGTCTGATCGTAAGCTTTATAATGGATTTGTTTTGGTTGTAAACTGATAACAAAATGAGCTATACGAGGAAATAGAGAAGCAAAAGCATATATATATATGTATATATATATATATATATATATATATATATATATATATATATATATATATATATATATAAATACAAATATATATATATATATATATCTATTTAAATATTTTATATATTATGATTATATATATATATATATATATATATATATATATATATATATATATATATATACATATATATATATATATGTATAAATACAAATATATATATATATATATATATATATATATATATATATATATCTATTTAAATATTTTGATTTTATATATTATGATTATATATATATATATATATATATATATATATATATATATATATATATATATATATATATATATATGTATGCATACACATATATATACATATATATATGTATGTATACACACACCCACACGCATATATATATATATATATATATATATATATATATATATATATATATATATATATATATATATATATATATATATATGTATGCATACACATATATATACATATATATATATGTACGTATACACACACCCACACCCACATATATATATATATATATATATATATATATATATATATATATATATATATATATATATATATATATATATATATATATATATACGTGTATGTATGTGTCTTGTAAAATATATAGTAGCAGACCATCGAGTAATTGTCATCTTACCTTGTGTGATGAAGCTCAGTGTTGTTATAACACATCTAGTCCACATAGTGAAGTAAGAATGTTAAATCTACTCAGTATGTAAAGACGTCTAGATTTAATTGTGAACACCACCTCTCTATTCTATTCTGAAAGAAATTTGAACACAGCCGCATTGTATTTTGACATGAACTTTACAAAATCTAACCGGTTTTATGATACACACAAAGCTTAAAGGAGACGTTTAAATTTATAATTTACCCACGTATAGTAAATAATAAACTAATTAGATAGTCAAACCACACTGTTTGGCACTTTATTTAAACGAAGGTACTTACTCTATATGGTCTTTAAGATTGTAAAACACACACCTAGTTGTTTACTTTGGTATAGATAATAAACCGTGTTTTGTATTTAAAAATATCTGATAACAATTAGCTACATATTAAATGTGAATACAATTTCTGTCCAAGTTGAGGTTTCTAACATTTCATTTGCTTAGTTTTCAAATATCCCCTTACTATTCGCAACAATATGAAATTTAAATCGAAACATTGGAATCTAAAAAAAGCTGCTTAAGTTCCTAACCATTGGCAACAATTTCACTATCTCGCTCAGAACGAGGCAGTTCTGTAAAATCATCAGGTAATTAATCATTTAAAACTGATCGCCCTGAACAAAAAAACTTAGTACTACAAGTATGTGTAGCATTGAGACTGTGAACACTTTAACAAGAAAGGACACCATTTATATATTGATTAGTGAATCAATACACATGTTATTGCAAGGTGATGTATAAAGGTGTATCAGGCGCCGTTATATACATATTAATATATATATATATATATATATATATATATATATATATATATATATATATATATATATATATATATATATATATATATATAAATGCAGTTATGTGTAATAAATATATGCAGATGGGGTGTGGAGTGGAGGACGTAGGCAGATGAGCTTCCCTTCGTTTACTGTTACTGCTAAGCTCTTTCATTGAGTTAATTCAATTTATGGTTACGCTGTCAACCCAATACTCCTTTGAACTAAACGGAACTTTAACTTCACCAAACACAATTAAAACTAATTTTTACTACTATGCAACTATACAATATTTTGTTCGTCATTGTCATTTTATTTGCGGTCATGCACAAGACACAAGAGACAGATGAAGTAGAGTTTATCTGTTTCAACGACCTCGGCACACTGATGGGTAGTGTGGACAGCGCTATGCCCAGCCGCTTTTGTCAGGTACCTATTAGAGCTGGGTGGACACAGGCATTTCCTACTGACTCAAGCCAGGGATCAGAACACAAGGCTTTCGAGTTAACTGCATTGGGCAATGTTCTGTTACTTTCGGTTAATTTTTTTCACTGCTTTTTTCTTCACTGGTCTTCGCCTTTTTCACCACGCTTTTCTGTTTTTTCCCACTTTCCCCACTCCCCACTTTCCCCAATTTCCCCACTTTCCCCACTCCCCACTTTCACAACTTTCCAAACTTTCCCCACTTTCCCAATTTTTCCCATTTCCCCAACTTTTCCCAACTTTCCCCACTTTTCTTTACTTTTCCAACATTTTCCTCACATTTTCCTCTTTCCCCACTTTTCTTTACTTTTCCAACATTTTCCTCACATTTTCCTCTTTCCCCACTTTCCCCATTTCCCCCCCCCACCCTTTCCCAACTTTTCCAATTTTCCCTACTTTCCCCACTTTTCGACTTTCCCCACTTTTCCCACTCTCCCCACTTTTCCCACTTTCCCACTCTTCCCACTTTTCCCACTTCCCCACTTTTCCCACTTTCCCCACTTTTCCCACTAAATTCCCAATAAATAGTTTGATGCACAATCATTTATAACTCTTTCAGGGTGTTTATTTTTGAGGAACTGTTACATCACCTATCCAGTTACTGATATTTGAAGTTTCGCTCGTATATCGTGGCAATTTGTCATACACTCGACAGCTCCTATCTCAAAAGTCTCGTATGTTAAGGTACCATATCTAGCTGCGAAAGGTAATTTTCTTTATATGTTTTTGTCTTTTATATTTAAATACCATTTATCTTTAAATGCTATGTACAAAACCAAGCTTCAGCTTGCTATGATCAATAAATCAATACCACACATAACCATTGAAGAAAGAACAATCCATTTTTTTTCAGTTCTCTTGTTTACGTTTCGGTCGATGCTATCTTAATAGGAAAATCACATTTTAACTCGACCAGAACGCAATTCCACACAATTCCACGCAATTCCACAAAATTCCACACAATTCCACACAACTCCACACAATTCCACACAATTCCACACAATTCCACACAATTCCACACAATTCCACACAATTCCACACAATTCCACACAAAGATGTTTTCATGACATGTTTTTGTTACACGTATGTAGTCGTATTTACTTAGCTGATCGTCGGTATCGGAATCCATGGTTCATAACCACTAAATCCTAAGCATATTAAGTCAAGAGTCAACAAGCTAATGTAAAAAGTTACTCAAGTGCGCATATATATATATATATATATATATATATATATATATATATATATATATATATATATATATATATATATATATATATATATATATATATATATGCATATATAATCTCCACATAATAGTAAATAGCATAGCATAGCTAAACATCGAACTTCTTCTTTTTCGTTCTTAATTATTAGTGTTGAAGGGGATCGAGATTTATCTGCCAGTGGGTTTGAACTCGAGACTTTGTTCGAATTTATCAACCATGAGCTTTTTGCCGACTCGACCACGCCTCCAACACAATTAAGCGTTACGTGTCAACTGGTTATGCGCCATTGAGGCCATTGACTCCAATTTCAGCCTGCTTTTCTTTTTGGATTTGCTTCCATAGCCTTTGTCCACCCAAGAACAAACTACAAGGCAGCAGTTGTTTGATTTTGGAGTTGTCTCTCCTAGACGAGTGGCTGTCCCCAGCTAACGAGCCTCATCTGCCCGAGAAACAACGAACACATGTTCTAATTTACATTCGCCTCCCAACAAAGTTTTAATGCGTAAACATGAATCGATATCTCCTTTTTCTTTCAGGCATCTCTTTCGGAGGTCCCCACCCCCCGAACGAAATGGAATTTATACAGAAAATATATACTTTTAACAGTGTCCGCCCCTCCCGGAAATTTTAGTCCGCCCCCCCCTCCCCCCCGAAAATTTCAAGTGCCCGCCCGGATAAAAAAAAAGGCTGGAAGAAACACCGATCGGTTGCAGTTTATATTTTCATGATGTAAGAAAAACATTCTCTCACACATTGACAATTTTATAAATAATAAATTTGATGGGGATCCAGATACGTGCATTATTGATAGAACTTTGAAAAACATCGCTATACGTGCATTATTGATAGAACTTTGAAAAACATAGCTATACTTTCTTCTTTGAATAGTCTTCTAAGTGGGCTATTTGAAGTGGTCTTTGTACACATTTTACGGCGGTGTAACGTGAATATTTTAGTATCATCTTTCTGTGTGCAATCGTGCATTAGTGCTGATTGTATCTTCATTGTGAGCAGAGTCGTGGGAAGGGGGGGGGGGTACATATGTACCCGGGCGCCGAGCTTAGGGGGCGCCAAAATGTGTTGTAAAAACAAATTAAAACCTTACTTTAGCTGCAGTTTTGCATTATAAATATAAAAAAAAATATATGTGGGGGGTGTGCAAATTGAAAGTTTGAGGGGTGGGGGGTGCAAATTGAAAGTTTGAGGGGGAGGGGGGTGCAAATTGAAAGTTTGAGGGGAGAAGGGGGGGGGGGGGTGAACATTGAAAGTTTGTCCCCGGGTGCCGGGAAGGGTCGCTCGCCTCTGATTGTGTGCTCCTGGTCTATCACAAATATTCCCCAACAAAAGGTGTTGGTGAACTTTAAAGTTGTTTTTAGATATAAAAATGTCTACATATTATCTTACGGGTTATGCACCAGGTGAAGTAGAGTTCACCTATTTCAGTGTGATCAGCGCTATGGCAAGCTGCCTTTACTTTCCCTATCGTAAGCCGGGTACCCATTAGAGCTGGGTAGACTCAGATACGTCGTACAGACTCGAGCCCGATGTTGCGAACGTGAGCGCTATACCATTTGACCGCACCGTCTGAATAATTATTATATGGTAATATTTATAGACACATACACCCCCCCCTCGTCTCATACATAAGATCAGTAACATTTAATAATTAAGGGTAGCCCCTTATATTTTGTCAATAAAAGTAACGTTCTCTTTCAAATCTGACGGTCTATAGGGCAAGTGAAGTAGAGTTCACTTGTTTCTGTGACCTCGGTATATGAAGAGATAGTGTAGTCAGCACTATGCCCAGCCGCCTTTACTTTCCCTAGCGTGAGTTAGGTACCCATCAGAGTTGGGTGGACTCAGGGAAGATCTACTGACGTGAACTCGAGACTTACGGGTTAGCAGTCCAGCTCTCTACCACTTGACTACTCCGTCCCTATCATAATGTCAATACCCAATTGAAAAAGTTCCATGTACAATGTCTATCTAGTAAGATTACATATGCATAATTAAATTTTTCTCAAACATCCACAACCTGACAATACACAAAAAAAATATTTCAGTTTAATTGATCTTTAATATTTCCCAATATCAGTTGTCGATGAGAAGGTCATTATATCTATATTTGGTGGACGCTTGTTTATAGGAGAGTTAATTAAATCCTATCACATTTTATTTTCTCTCAATATGTATCACATTCTGTCGGTGACTTCCCTTCTTTTATTACAGCAATGTCAAGGGATGCTACCTGTAACCATATTAAAAAAAAATAGAATGTCATTGATAATTTCCCGTATACAAAATGAAAACATCAATTTGTTATTAAATATAAAATATAATGCAGTGTTATTTTTAAAGCATGTGCTTTCGAGACTTTAAAAAAGAAAACGATTACTTAGACGTATATTTTAAAACTGATAAAAACGCTCAGCGTTATAAATGTATTTTAAGGTGACAAAAGAAAGTTAAATTTAAAGTATTTAATCGAAAGTGAATAAAGAGTCAATTTTTTAAAAAATTAGCTAGTAAAAAAAAAAAAAAAAAATTTTGTATACAAATATACCTTAGCGCAGGGTGGCAACCTGCGGCTCGCGAGTCGCATGCGGCTCTTTTGATGTCAAGATGCCGCTCTTCGGCTCCATGCACAAATATTAATAATTATTTTATTATCAAAACTCATAAAAATATTGTGCTGCAACACTCGGTAATAAATTATATAAACATAAACATTAAACATTCGCTATTCTATTAGAATATTTAGGTACTCCCTATTTTCAATATACTTCCTATTAAACTGTTCATCCCGAATTGAAACATTCAACTTCATGGTGGATATCACAAAGAAAATAAACGAGCTAAATGTAAAACCGCAAGGAAAGGAAAACTCAGCCTATGCCTTGCTTGAGAAGTGGATGTTTCGAAAAAAAAAACTTTTTTTTTTGTTGAAGACACTGAGAGCGGTAAATTACTTGATTTCAAAAATTCTGAAAAAAATATCTAGAAACAAATACAATTATTAGCATGAATTGCTTCAGCATTACAACAAACAAAACGAAGGATGGATTCACTGAGAAATTCATAGTAGACTCTCTCAACACAAAAACAAATGAGATTAACTTTGAGCTACTTGGAATTGATGCTCGTTTGATTCAGATGCAATTGCTGAACTTTAAACGACTCATTTGTGGAGCGGAAAATTCACAGAACTCAAGAGCAAGTAAAAATAGTTGAAGGTCCAGTAAAACATGCACGTTACGCTGCACAACTGGACAGCTCTAAAATAAATGTCGCGAGTTGAGGCACTCATACGTGACGCATGGAATAGATTTGCAGGTTGGTACAGTAATTTGGAGAAGTTGACATCTGGAGTGCTGACGATCTTTAGGTCAACATATTCGTGCTAGCAAGAGTTCTCTAACATGAATACAATAAAAGGTAAAGTAAGAAGCCAACAAACAACTAAAAATCTAGAGGCGTGCTTGAAACCCAAAACTTGAAGTTAAGAGCTTTCAAACGGCATGCAAGATCAATGCTTCCATTGATGTAACTAATGTAAATATTCAATGGTTATAGTTATATTTTATGATTACTAATTTTATTATTCTAGCAGAGCTAGCTAAAATACTATAATATGTTTTGTATATATATATATATATATATATATATATATATATATATATATATATATATATATATATATATATATATATATATATATATATATATATATATATATATATATATATATATATATATATATATATATATGTATATATATATATATATATATATATGTATATATATGTATATGTATATATATATATGTATATGTATATATATATATGTATATATATATATATATATATATATATATATATATATATATATATATATATATATATATATATATATATATATACACCTAATCGTAAATATTGAAAAAAAATGTTAGTGGCTCTTTAAAAACTGTTAAATTTTGTAAATTGCATCTTTTGGCTCTTCCGTATCAAAAGGTTGCCGACCCCTGCCTTAGTGAGCTCATTTGATGTATATTTTGAATATTCTTTATTTGTAATCCTATGTATTACTGTACTATCAGCTGATTATGTGGTTCTATTCTTATCCTATCGAGAGGTTTTAATCTAAATGTGAATATATTGTATGAATTCCATGTAGCCCAATTGCTCTATTTAAAAGTGTACATTTTTTCCATCGCAGTCTGTATTGCTTTTTCCGTGTATAATGAAAAATATGTGTCCTCCGTGTAAGCAAGTATTTTCCCTGACGTGTTTGAAATGTACAGTCCTTTAAATGTGTGTCGTCCCGGTGGAGTCCACTGCTTCATGTTTCAGTACTTGTTTTTCGTCACGTGGGTAGCGAGGGCTAGTGTACAATTTCCACTTTGATTATTAAATAATTCCCTGATATATATGTATATATATATATATATATATATATATATATATATATATATATATATATATATATATATATATATATATATATATATGTATATATATGTTATATTCATATACACACACACACACACACACACATATATATATATATATATGTGTGTGTGTGTGTGTGTGTGTGTGTCCAAGCATAATCTTCCCCTAGTTATACGTTTCTATGGTTAGCTTGTGTGGGCTTCAACTATCTGAATATTTCCCAATGGACTTAAACAAAAAAGTATGGTAAAAAAAAACATCGGTTAAATGCTGAAGTTTTTATTTAACAATTTTAAATTGTAGAGAAGAAAAGTAATGCATGCGTGTGTAAACTATTCAGTTAAAAACAAGCTGACCATAATGTTAACACTTACACATCCTCCGTATAAAAAAACTCACTACTTAAAATCCACTTCACAGACGAAAAGAAGGAGGGACGAGCAAGGCGTATCATTCAGCAGGAAAAGGGTGGAGCAAAACACACAGTCTTCGTTACCGTTGCTGTTGCTTGGCCCATCTTAGAAAAAAACAACAAAAAAAAAAAAAAACAACAGGTAAACCCGTTGACTGGTTTAATTAAGTTTTTAGAGTAAGAATAGTATGATCGTGTTATAATACAAGAAATGCATTTGATAACGAAAATCATCATACTTATAATGTCAAAGCTGCTTGTTGATATTCTAATGAGAACGATACTCACACAATAAAATATAACTTACACTGTCCATTTTATTATGGCACTAAATAATGTATCAGTATTATAAAGATATTGTCTCTTCACTCTACCGTCATATTTTAAAGACTCCAGTCATAGAATGCATGGCGCCCTGACATTATCACACCCAACCCTGTTTTCATTACCGTCACACGTCAACCTGTACGTGTTAATATCAAAGCAGAGGCGTAACGACGGGGTGGGGGGGGGGGTGGAGAAGGGTGGATACATATATCCCCGGGCGCCGACCCTAGGGGCGCCAAAATAGGTTGGAAAAAATTAAAAGCTAATTTTAGCTGCAGTTTTGAATTATAAATATAAAAATATATGTAGGGGCGGGGGGGGGGGGGGGCGCCAAATTGAAAGTTTGTCCCCGAGCGTCGGGAGGGGTCGTTATGCCTCTGTACCTAAGGCATATTAAAGTAAATTTCCCTTTCAAACCTGACGGTCTATGAGGCAAGTGAAGTAGAGTTCACTTGTTTCTGTGACCTCGGCATATGAAGAGATAGTGTGGTCAGCACTATGAAAGGCATATTACCTATTTGGAAAATCTGTTTTGTCCAGTTGACATCCATCACTGAACCGTCGTCATCCCATTTAAATGTTCCTTCCTCCTGGATATCGTCTAACCCGACCCGTTGGTACTTGGTGACATTCATAATGTTCAGGAGAATTTGATATTTCAGCGGTGTTTTCACCGTCATTAGGTGTGCTCCATGAGCTGCAAATGTTTGAATGTTTTAGTGATATAAACATTGATGAATATAATTACACAGTTGCCAATATGGCTAGTCTCGAAACAAAAAAAATATTAATTGTAATTAATTTGCCAGTATGGCAAGTCTCAAAACACGAAACAAACTATGGGAGACTCGTGGACAGGAAACAACAGAAAGGAAAATTAAATAAATGAGATGGAGATGGAGTAGGCACCAAATAAATACACTTGCAAAACAGCCAGACAAACCTTGAAGTAGAACTACACAAATGTTATCGAGTCAACGTTGCTCTCGTCTTACTCTCCATTCTTACGCAAGTGCTGACCACACTATCCATTCATATGCCGTGGTAAATCAATCAGATGAACTCTACTTCATCTGCCCCATGTGTCTTGGGCTCGAATATATATATACATACATATATATATATATATATATATATATATATATATATATATATATATATATATATATATATATATATATATATATATATATATATATATATATTTATTTATTTTTTATATATATTTACATGACTTTATATTTTAAAAACTATTTTATATGATATAAAAGTTTTATAGATTTTATTTTTAACTAATTCTTCTAATAGAATCGCATTCTGGACAGAGTTTCTTCCATGCATCTCTTCGGAGCGCCCCCCCCCCCCTCCCCACCCCGATAAAAGTCTACCCCCCGGACGACATTTGAAGTATATAGAAAATATATACTTTTAACAGTGTCCGCCCTCCCCACTCCCCGAAGAAAGTCTACCCCCCCCTCCCCCAAAATCAGTGTTTCTTCCAGACTTTTTTCTCCGGGGGGGCACTTGAAATCTTCGGGGGGGGGGCGGTAAACTTTCTTCGGGGGGGGGGGGGGCGGACACTGTTAAAAGTATATATTTTCTATATAAATGATATAAATTTCATTTCGTTCGGGGGGGGGGGCGGTTGCCTGGAAGCAACTCTGCCCAAAATAAATATTTCAAGTGCACCACCCCCCCCCCCCCCCGGAGAAAAAGTCTGGAAGAAACACTGATTGTTGAGTGTTGAACGTGAAATAATTCTACTTTCTTACAGCGACAGGTGGTTCTCGCCAGTTTGTATGTGTTCATCACTGGTGATATCCAGAGACACACGGTTAGGCCATTCATCGTTATCACAGCGAACTTTGGCGTGTCGCAGTAGCGGCTGTTGTGGTACACCAGTTCCTCTGTGGGGTTTCTTGATGCCGCGGATGGCGCCAGCCAGGATCCTGGGATTAATGTGTAGCATTATACAGTGGCGTCGGTAGGTCAGGTGTCACCCGGTGCGGTAGCTCATGGTGTCACCCCACACTTTTTTTTTCTCTATAAATTTTGCAGGTGCAATTTTTTTGTCTTGGTGTCACCCCTTAAATGTTGCCATCAGGTGCAGTCCGCATCCACCTCCCCGCCTCGTGACGCCTATGGCAGTAAACACGTTTACAACGTTGAAAGAAAACACCACCCGCCAAGCTAAAAATGTACTAAAATCACAAAAATAAATAAATAAATAAATAAATATATTCACACACACACACACACACATCAGTAAGCCGAAAGCTATAACCAATCTATATTACCGTCGTGTCGGTGTAGTTGTAGCCGAGTAACCAAACAGACTTGCTCGTGTTGTACTCTTTACGAAAAGTCTGCACGTGTGTGGACGCTTGGCTGATACATGCTAAACAAAATACTTTTCATTCAATGACACGCAGTTGAAAAGTTATTTAAAAATTCGATTAATCATAATACTATTACAAATGATTAGCAAATGATCAACAGACTACAATATGGTTGTTCTGATCTTGATGTAAAGTGTGTTAGCTTAGATTAATATACCTAAGTCGTAATCAATAAATAGTCGGAAGTGACAAATATGATGAAGTGATCGATTCATATATCAAAACATTTAATATAGTAGCTAAAGAAATTAACATTTTGAAGTCTTTTTACAAAATATACCATACTACACTTTCTGATGTAAAACCTGTTTGGCATGAAAAGATGCAATATATAATGAAAAGTTTTATTGAGAGAAAATCATGCTCCACGAAGGACAAATTCAATAAATGTTAGCAACACAAACTGTAAACATTAAACTTACCCAAATCTAAAATCGACACAGCAAACAACTGCATTAAAACTGAATACATTATCATGTCGATGCCGCTGACTGACTGAAATGTACATTACACTAAACCATTTTTCGCTAGAACTTTTCTGTTTTTTTTTTGTTTTTTAGTGTGAAGAAACTATAAATTTTAAAAGGGCGTGAATTTGAAAAAAGCGTAGAAAAAAAATGTTCAAAAAGATTTTAATTTAAAATTTAAAGCCAACTTCAACATTTTGAGTGCAACTGCGGCTCTTTGTGCAATCAGTATTTGAAAAGGTTTTCGAACAGAAAATCGATTTAGTTTCTTTTGTAAAATATTATTTGATTTAACAAAAACAAAAATAACTTGCCAAGTTGAACGTGTTTCTTGTTTCAGTTTAAAGCAGTGGCCACGATCTAAACTATCCCTAAACTAATTGTAACTGAACTATAACCAAACTATAACCAAACTATAATCAAACTATAATCAAACAATAACCAGACTATAACAAAACTATAGAACAACTATAATCAAATTAAAACACAACTATAACCAAACTATAACAAAACTGTAACCAAACTATAACCAAACTATAACCTATATATAACCAAACTATAACCTATGTATAACCAAACTATAACCAAACTATAATCAAACTATAATCAAACTATAACCTAACTATAACCTAAATTTAACTTAACCAAAGTCAAAACCAACCATCACCGAACTATAAAATAAAATAAACAAATCAAAACCTAACAAAACTAATCCTCTATTTACTGCAAATCTAACCCTAACCCAACCTAACCTAACCTGACCTGTCTTGCTCTGTCCTGACCTGACCTGACCTGACCTGACCTGACCTGACCTGCCCTGACCTGACCTGACCTGACCTGACCTGACCTGACCTGACCTAAACCTGACCTGACCTGACCTGACCTGACCTTGACTTGACTTGATATGACTTGACTTGTCCTACCCCGACCTGACCTAGACTAATGTAAATTAATCTAAACGAAGCAATAGGATTAATTAGGTTGTGCTTAATGCTTTGGTGTTAGGGTTAGTGATTTAGTTCATAATCTTATGTAGGGTTTGTTTAGGGGTAAATATATGAAATAATTTGTATCAGAGCATGTATTTCGACTTTTAAACCGAATTAATCAAGTCTTCTTCTTCTTCTTCTTCGTTCTTAATTATTAGTGTTGAAGGGGATCGAGATTTATCTGCAAGGGGGTTTGAAACTCGAGACATTATTCGAATTTATCAACCATGAGCTTTTTGCCGACTCGACCACGCCTCCAACACAATTAAGCGTTACGTGTCAACTGGTTATGCGCCATTAAGGCCATTGACTCCGATTTCAGCCTGCTTCTTAATCAAGAAATCAATGTGTATTGTTTTACGGTTGTGTTTTTCATTTGCAAGCCTGTTGTTTAAAATAACCACAGCGCTTATTTCATCAAAACCTAATTGCGGAAGTATGATTACTATTTCCACGACATCTAATAAGCGCATTGTTTAATTCATCGGTATGATTAGTGTTTCATTAGTCGATGGCACACACAAACACACACACACACACACACACACACACACACACACACACACACACACACACACACACACACACACACATACTCAAACGCACACACACACACGTACACACATGCACAAACGCACACGCACACACACACACACACGCACGCACGCACGCACACACACACGCATACACACACACACGCGCACGCACAGACACAGACACACAGACACACACACACAAACACACACACATACACACACACAAACACACACCTTTTCATTAATCTTTGTTACTGTTTCCTTGATTTGGGTTAGTAAGGTTTTGTCGGTTTTTTCCTTCTGTGATTAATTGTGTCAGTCCTTGTGAGAAGTATTATGTCCACCGGACTTCTGTAACTGCTTGATCGCTGTGGAGATTCTGGAATGGAGATTTCATCTGTTTTTTGTCTTTGTCTCTTTGTTGCTGGTTATGCTTGGGTCATCTTCTTTCCCTTTTTGTGGTCCTTCGGTTATGGGGGGGGGTCGTCTAGGGCACTGAATTAGTGATTTTTTGGTGCCTTTGTTATTTTCCCCCGTTCTGATGTAGGGCTGTGTTCGTTTTTACAAGCTTTTATTTAACTCACTTTTCTGTCTGTCTGTCGTCAGTATAGATCGAAACGGCCGAGCAAAATTGCAGGCACTTCTGACTGACAGATACGGTTCGTAATTGGTACGCGGGTCAAGACATGAAGACAATGCACCGTGACGTTAAATTTGACTTAATTGGATGCCTAATTAATTTTTTATGAATTAATTAAAATGTGGACCAAATTAGTAGGCAGTGCTATCCACACGCTTCATCACGGCAAAAGCACGTCATCACGTTCAATAGGCGCCCAATGGTTTTTAGTCATGTAACTCTATTGTCGGGTCAGCAGTCTAGTTCTTTACCACTAGACTACGCCATCCCATAATACTTTATGTAATAAAAAGCTTGTAAATCATGATCAACTATTTAAATAATTAAATAATTAACAGCTAGACTACGCCATCCCATAATACTTTATGTAATATTTCCTTTTTATTGATGTGATAGTGTCAATTGCTGTTTCTGACTGTGGTTTTAATGGTATTTGCTGTTGTAGCCCTGGTTATCGTGTAGCTGGGGTCCCTTAGTTGTGTCGAATTTCTGACAATCGGTATCAGCGTATTCGGTGTTGCATCTTGTAGCTGAGTGCTGGTGTACACTTGTGTCGAGTCTTGCTGTGGTTGATTAATAAGCGCTGTTTTAGCTGGCGTTGTTAGTTGTGCTATTGGGTCTTCCTGCAATGGTATGTCTGAGGGCATTTACTGGCAATGGTTCGTCCCGTAGAGCATAGAAGATCAGATTTGACACGCTTGTCTTCTCCCGACGATAGAGATTAGGATAGTGAGTGATTTGATTTTGTAGTTTATTTTGATGTAGTGTGGGATAGATGAAGGTTTATCAGTGTAGACCAGGGGTCGGCAACCTTTTGATACAAAAGAGCCAAAAGTTACAATTTACAAAATGTACCAGTTTTTAAAGAGCCACATTGTTTTTTTCAATATTTGCTATTTGATTAGGACAATGTAAATAAATCTGATTTGTTATTTACAATAAATAGCTTTAAATATGAAATAATATTTATT